TTCATAAACCTTGTGGCAAATCATGTCAGCCATAATATGTCACGTGGAGTGACTTTATATCTGATAAAACACATGTGGCGTTATATAATTGTTCATCCTAATTAGTATTCTTATATAAAGAATACTAATGAGACGGCATCTTTGGTAGTCGTATTTTAAGCTATTCAAAACACTCGTCGTGTTTTATCAGATATAAAATGCTGCTCGGCGTCGCCTCGTGTTTTATATCTGATATAACACTCCTATATTCGTGTTTTAAATAGTACTAAGTGCTAGCCAATTAACATACACAATCCGAATTATGTTTTTATTTTTAATAATAATAATAACACTTTACTTAACAAGGATTTACAGACTTATAAAGCTACAGTACAGGCTTGTTTCCAATCTGGTAATATTTAGATCATATTACCTATATACTTTATATAGGCCTGTTCACACTTTAGTGCAATTTTCTCCTTTTCTTGCATGTGAACGAGTAGATGAGTTTTGTACTCTCATCTGAATGTTCATAACTCATCCACTCATTCACATTCATCAGAAGAAAATTACACCTAAAATAAAAGCAAAAATTGCAAGTGGAAACAGGACTTATTGTGCAAAAATACACCTACAGTAATTACATGGAAAATGCATGCATCTACCTGACAGGGTCAAAATAAATGCATCTTATGCTTACAAACCTTGAAGTTCATTAGTAATTCACCAAGAAATATTGCAACGTTGCAGGCTCTCTCAGGATTCGTCTGAATTACATCGTTGAATATATCATTTTCACTCTTACATCTATTAAAATTAGCAAGATTCATAAAATGTTTAAAAATGAACAAAAATACGAGAAAATTGTCTTATACCAACTTGCCGTAAATGTATACTCTAAATTTTATTTTGGTGTTTAAAGAAATTGTTGGCCAAGTTGCGATACAAGTTATTGCATTATTGCACTGTTTGGTCGAACTCATTCTCCATCCATCACTATATTGCACCGTAAAAACTACTTTATATTCTGTTGTCTCCCCCAGGGGCCTCGATACAAGAACTCTGTATTATCTAGAAGTAACTAAAAAGAATACGTACTGTAAATCTTTAGGCATGTAGTATTATTTCATGAATCACCGTCCGGTCCTCGTGATATTTAACGTGTGGTGCAAAGAGTTACCCTGGATTCAAACAAAACAACATACCATATTTCCTCTATACCCCCCTAAAAACTATAAAGTTAGTGTTCGACAAGTGCATATGCACCTTTTAATGATGTGTAGTGGAATATTGTCAGTGCAAGATATGTATTATAGATATTACAGTACAGCACAAGTTTTACCTTTGTAGAAATACTGTCCTGAATTGAAATTGTTCTGTCATTTTCGGAACTAAGTACTTATCCAGGTGATTAGCCAGTTTTGAACCAGTATACTGAAAGTTTTGCTCTGATACACACTATAAAACCAAATGTATTATGAGTTTTATTGTACAGTATTGTTTTCCCGACATACATTTAGGACAGTGCAAATTCTACTGTACACACCTGGATCTGCAGCAACTGAAGACTTCTATTAGTAATGAGAGCAATCAATAAATACACACTTTACATACTAGACGTTTTGAAGATGACCTACCTTTTCAAATAGTAAGTCTGATAGTTTTATCATATCGTTCTCAACTCTAATATAAACTGATAAATAGTTTGCCATTGACATTGATAACTCATCTAATAAGCCTGGATCTTCTGTAAGTTGTTTTATTTTGTTATTCACAAAATGTTCTATTGCTTGAAGTCTTTCCTCCGCTGGTTCTTCATGTCTAGAGAAACATTTACCTGGCACAAACTCTGGGGCATTTATTGCTGAAGCTAAACGACTTGATAAAGTCTGTGCAGGATTAAACGTTTGTTGAGACGTTTTTGGTACAAATACTGGATTATTGACTGCTCTCAGTAAAACGTTGTCTACATTTTGACTTTCAATTTCTATTGTCGAGTTTTCAACTTTCCTTTCTGTGCCAACATCTGAAAAGAAAAAAAATAAAGATATTTGGTCGTAAAAAAAATACCTGTGGTTCCAGTTCCCGACCGACCCTATTTTTTTCTGCCGACCCTATTATTTTTTCAACGCAATTGACCGTGCAACCCTATTTTCTCCGGGTGGTTGCTGGCTACTGCCAAAATGGCATCTGTTGTCACACTAATTATTGAAAATACCAATTCTAAGAAAGATATAAGGACGAATGGCCAAATAAAGAATCATAAACAGGAGAACAAAGAAAAGAAACCCAATAATAGTAAGATAAAGAATGATATAGAGGAAACATACAGTAGAAGGAAGTAGAGAGAGAAAAAGCATATAATAAGAGAAAGTTAAACCAAAGGAAGATTTACAAGAAAATATATAAAATAACTGCAGAGAGAAATGGAGAAAAAAAAAACAGGAAGAGGGGTGTTAAGAAAGATATAAGAGAAAGAGAAGATGGAATAATGGAAGTGGGATTGTAAAAGAAGATAGGGGAGACACTGTGGAATATAGAAATTAAAACAAAACTTTCAAAACATGGAATATAGGTATTAAATTTTAAATTTTAAAAAACACATATCACTGCATGTGACATCAGTTATCGCACTTATTGGAATATAATTCGGTAAATTTCTATATCAGGGCATTATTTATGTTTGATATATGACTTTTTACAGTATATGCATGCATACAACATAGTGCAACATAGCCCAGCATAGGACTGATGGAATTAAGGTATCAGTTTCCCATCACCCACCTGCATGTGTTATTGGCCAGACCTGTCAACCTTAAAATTTTAAAACAGGGAGATTTCACTTTTTAGCCCTTAAAAACCTGTGAGATTTTATCAAAAATCGGGAGAGCAAAATTAAAGTAATATGCAGTGTTCAAAACAGTAAAAAATTCTAATCATTTTCCCGGCTTTATAATCATTATAAAAGCCGAACACTTGTAGTTCATGGAGTAAGTTTCAGCTTGGACATGCGTGATTTTCACACAATTACTATTTCTTGCCAGATATTTGAATCTGGAAAATATTCCATTACCTCATAACAATTAAAACAAGCAACCGGGAGAAAATATCTTGATACCGGGAGAAAATATCTTGGGTCAAAACCGGGAGAGTTGACAGTTCTGTATTGGCAGCCATGTGAAATCTTCATTATTTCAATATTTTTTCATTATTTGTCAAATTAATTTTGTATAGCAAGTGTTTCAAAAATGGCTTTCTGTTGAAATTTTTGGCAAATACTGACTTTGTTTGTACAGTTAGTGAAGGCACGGTGAAACAGAGTCAAAGACATAGCTGATGATAGCTCGGAAGCTAGCAAAAAGCTCAAGAATCGTCAAAATTTTTCTTGGATTTTTTCAGTCAAAATTCAAATTTTTAGCTCAAAATTTGACAAATTCAAATCGTGAAAAATAATGAATAATGAAAAAAATCCACACCAACTTTTGAAATTTTAGGTGACTTGTAAACAGACACCTTATTAAATTTCCATCGGCCTTGTACAGCACTACAGCTGCACAGCATAGCCCAACATAGCCCCCAACATAGCGCCATCAAGTAAATATAGTACAACATAGCACAAAATAGTACAATATAGCACCATCAAGTAAATACAAACCTTGTGCAAGCTGCTTTGGTCCACTTTCACTGGCCACATTGACGGTCAGTTCAGGCTTTTGTACAGGTGGTTTTTCATCGTCTTGAGATATATTATTTTCAGCAATTTCAGGTGTGCGAATCTCGCCAGGTTTTCTTAACGGAAGACTTGGTTTATCTTCACGTCCTCGGCCTCCAGCACGATCTCGTGTTGAGCTCATTCTGTAGTGCTGGTCGATAAATAATCTCGTGCAATATTTTATTTAAAATTCTAAACATACACTCAATGGATCATACGCCATTTTGGATAGACATCCATAAGACATGCATTCAAGGCCTATCCATTGTTATCCGTTAAGTCTTATGTCATATATTCATAGTTAACCCAAGTTATCCCTGCCTCGTAATCAAGCACGCGCGGGAGAACGCGGGAGCAGGGCGCTATCAAACACTAGCGTTTTAGTGTTTTATAGCGCCCTGGCGGGAGCAAGGTCAGTCTCTTCCACAGTCGCTTTCAAAAGGGGGGAGAGGAAAACAAGAAAAAATTTCTTTGTTGGGCGCGCGAAGAATAACGAGAAGGCGAAGATTTCGGCAACTTATCACAGTCACTGATCTATGGCCTTGGGGTATAGACCCTTTTAGATACTTCCACTCAGATACGATGCCTCCAACTCGTACTGCCTGCCTTCTGCCAAACAAAAAAGCAATTAGAATGTTATAATCAATCAGATCAAATAGTTTTGAGAAATCAGCAAAGAAAATCCAAGCCTCTGCATCATCACGATCTAGTAGCCTCATAGACTGCATGCAACATATACAGGAGGGTATGCCGCCAGTATGCTCGTAAAAGGCACTCAACAAAGTGGCAGGGATCTATTATTACATCGAGCTGCTGGAGCAATCTGGTGCATGTAAAACCTTCCATAATCTTGGCCAGCCTGCAAATAAGAGAAATGGGTCTTAGGGCATCCTATATTCTTTTTGGTGGTACAGTCTTTGGAATAGATAGATAGATAGTTAGATAGATAATCTTTTTATTAAAATTAACTAGCAGCCATGCATAGAGCTGAATTACATGATTCTTATATAAAGTGTTTAAAACAATTACAAAAATTCCTAATTTAATATTATAAAAAGTATCTCTTAACTATTAGTTCTGTATTATAAAATACCAATTTTTACGAGTTTATTAGACTAGATATTATAAAAGTATCTCTATATCTATTAGTACGATATTTTGGAATATTAAAAAGTTTTTCGTTCCTAAAATTATATGTATCGGATGTCACCTTAGGTGGCAGTAAGTTGTGAAGCTTATGGTCCTCATTGTCCAGAATCGAGTTAAAAAGTTGCTTACATAAATCACCCCTGCGTGTAGATAAAGTCTTTAATTCTAACATGACTAGAGCATCCTGGTGGGACAGTTGAGGGTAAATTATGCGCAGTGCTCTCTTTTGAATCCTTTCAATAACATCAGATAGGTATTGTGGCAAGCCATAATGAAAAACTTGGCATGAATATTCCAGTATTGACCTTATTGAAGCGACATAGAAGCACTTGAGATCACCAGCATCAAGTTCAAACCTTCTGAGCTGTTTCAACAGGTAAATTCGCTGGGATGCCTTATTGACTATTTTTTCCACGTGATCGTTCCATTTCAAGTCCTTTGTGATTGTTAAACCAAGAATCGATATTTTGTCAGCTCGTTCGATTTGTGATTGATTAATACTGTTGGGGGGGGGGGGATTTGGTTCATTCCGTTTAAAAGACACAACAAATTCTTTACATTTTGATGGATTAAGCTGGAATTTATTTCTTTCAGACCAGTCAACAATAGAATTAGTTACTTCTTGCAGAGAACTGTTTTCTGCCTGATCGGTGATGTATTCTGAAATATTAGTATCGTCCGCATATTTCATCTATCCCCATCAAATTGATCGTTAGAAACTACAAGGTCATTGATCATCAGCAAAAAGAGCCATGGACCGAGTTTAGTTCCTTGAGGGACTCCAGCATTGACAGGTTTCCAATTGGAAAAACAGTTCGGGGAAAGTTTTACCCTTTGTAGTCTTCCCCTCAAAAAGTCTGAAATCCAGTTTAAGGTTGATGTTTTTAGACCTATTCCCTGAAGTTTTCTATAAAGAGTATTATGATCTATAAGATCAAAAGCTTTCCGATAGTCCGTGACCAGTGAGCGCACACATCCTCCCTCTTTGTCTACTGTCTTTGACCAACGGTGGATTAAAGTAATTAAAGCCAGGGTGGTATTAGAACCCGGTATGAAGCCATATTGGTTACAATCCAGGCGATCCATTATTGCCGGTTTTAGATCGTATTTTATTACGGCATCTTCAGCGATTTTACTGAGTGTTGAGGTAAGAGATATAGGTCTAAGATCTTTATTAACATCTATCACCTGTTTAACTTTTGGGATTGGGCAGATGTTAGCCATTTTCCAGCAGGCAGGCACTCGATTTTCCTTAAATGATGTGTTTATAATGATTGAGATTGGCATTGCTAGAATAACTGCAAACTTCTTTAAGACCCAGTTGGGCAGGCAATCTGGGCCACTGGATTTTCCCAGCTGAACACCATTTAACAATTTAAAAACTTCTTCAGTCAAACAAATTATACTATTATTATCGGTCATGGTAATGGTACTATCAGATAGTGGCTGGTAGTCGCACATAAGTTCCAAGAAACAGTCATTTATCAAGTTACTAAGTGAATCGAGGTCTTGTGTATCTTGTTGCAGGTTTGCAAAGATATTACTCGTCGACTTTTGTTGATGACCACAGAGACGTTTCACCTCCTTCCACCAATCTTTAGGTTTAGTGTGTTTGAGTTCTTTCACCTTAGCTTCACAATATAATTTACGGCAGTTTTTCCTAGATCGATTTACTTTATTCCTTAACTGTTTATATACAGCATGTTTGTTCTGCGCAAGAGCCTTTTGTCTTTTTTTAATCAAACGTTTCAGGTTGCTGTTCATCCAAGGTTGATCATTTTGATGAACCTTCACAGTCTTCAGTGGCATTAGGGTATTAAGTCCATACTTTATAACGTCAGTAAAGTTATTCAGGTTTTGATCACAAGACTGGTTTGGATTAACCACTATGTCCCATGGCACTTCGCATAAAAATCTTCCTAGACGACGGATGCTGCTAGGCCTCTTGTCCCGCACGTTAATAATAGTTTCTTTAGACTGGTTACCACGAATTTTTTCTTTAGAAAAGGCAACAACAGTAAGGTGGTCCGATAAACCAAGTGGAGGAGTACTTAAAGGCTCTTCGTAGAAGTTGGACAAATTTGTCAAAATTAAGTCTAATTTACTTGTTCCTCTAGTATTAAAATTTACAATCTGCCTGAGTTGAAATTGATGGCTGATATGTCTTATAGGTAGTTTATTAAAATCTCCTGCCAGGATTAAGCCGCAGTTAGGATATCTGGTTTCCAATAACTCTAATGATGACTGTAAGTATTCTAGCATATCTGACTTATTTGCAGTGGGTGGGTGGTATAAAACTGCTGCGACGAGTGTTGAAAAGCCTCTTGGTAACCTACATGGGTTGATTTTGACCCATAGCACTTCACATTCATTTTCGTTTGGTATATCGGGGATAACATGCATTCGCTACATAAGAAGCTTTTATATATATACATACCCCGCCATGTTCCTTTCCTATTCTGTCTCGTCGGAAGACTCTATAGCCATTGATTTCAATTACTTCATCGGGTACGGAACTTTTCAGCCACGTTTCACTAATAAAAACTAGATCTGCATTGTTTTGCTTTGTAACATGTTCTAATTCGTCCATTTTGGGGACCAGTGACATCACATTAGTTAGTAAAAGATTAGGAACAAATTCCCGACTACAACCAACTTGAAGGAATTTTGAGGAGTTTTTTTTTAACACTATCAGGTTTAATTTTAATGCAATTTGCTAAATTTGCCCCTTTGTAAAACGTTTTATGTTTACGATATTGTGAAGCAATCACGGGGATTGGTTTTTGCAGCATTTGGGTTGATGTCGTAGTTGGATCTGGAATAGAACTGATAGAACTGATTTTGGACGTAGTTGTATGTTTATTTTGACCAGATGCATTCATTGCAGGTTTTATTTCAATTAGATTAGAGTTATTTGTGAGTGAATTAGGGACATTGTGCCTTGATATACAATTACGTGTTCGATTAGATGTAATTCTCACAGGGATCTTATTCACCTTCATTATTGCGTCCTGGTTATTTGGCTGACTAAGACAAGAAATTCCTTCCAGCCAGGGGGTCTGTGATTTAAGCGGCTCTTCCGAAAATTTGCCTGTCTGAGGTGCCATTGTGGGGTAGTAACCCGGGAATTATGCCGGTCTCGTGTTTGAGCTGGTCTAGTACTACGAGGGCGAGTCCGAGAATAATTTATATGCGGTTGTGGACGTCGTGGTTGTGGTTGGTGTGAGCTGAGTTTGAAAGATGGAAATAACATTCCATCGTCCTTAGTAGCTTTAGATTGCATTTTCCCTTCACCAGTATCTTCAGGTGCGCTGTTAGCTATGTCCTTATAGGAACTTTGCGGATATTTCATGATTTCAGGAGCCCTCCTTAAGGATTAATTATAAACACTTTAATATCCTTTATAACAGGAGCTAATTAAAAAACTAAAATCATTAAGGAGTTTATTGGGATGTTAAATAAATAAAAAGACAACATTTATACCATTTGCAGGGGATTTGATGTTTGGGAAATCTTCAAGAAATTGAGGATACCATTCTTGATATCTATCTTGACCATGCAGATAAACTTTTTATTTGTTTCCATCATTTACTGGGGTTCACGTATTCTAAATCAGCAACCCTAGCTGTTATAATCAGTTGTGGCGCCAGAACTTTCCCGACAGAGGGGCCTCTCTCCTCCGCAGAGCCTCCTTAAGTATTTACAAATAACTTACATGACGTTTTCTGAATAAAAGTGAGCGCGCGCGGTGTGATGGGAAGATTGAAATGAAGTTGGGTTATAGAAAGTAATAGATGTTTATTTATGCATGTTCAAAAATATATTAAGCAAACTAATCGTTTTTCTAAGAATTAATTTATTACTTTGAACCTTCAATTGAACCAGCTTTTATCACTTTTGTTGTTTTTTTCCCTCTTTCTTTGTAATGTTCGTCTTCTCCTGTTGTGTATATTATTTAATTATTTGTTAAATGTAGTGTGAGCCCCTTGATGAGCGTCCACGCTCTTGGGTAAACATTAAAGTTTAATATTAAATATGTTTATATAAAAAAAAAGAAAAGTTGGGGAGGCTCTGCCAGATAATGCGACGAAGTATGGTTTTTTAACCAAACTAGCTGTTTGACCTTTTTTTAAACTTGAAATCGACGGAAATGTGAAAGAAATTGAAATGAATCTTCATAATCTGAGTATCGAAGTTCAATAGAGTCATTTTTATAAAGAAATGTTGCAATTAATGCACCTATCAATGTTAACCCCGAGG